ATTCTTTGAACCTACCTTGTTCACAATTCCTGCCCGCGGTGTTATGGGGACAGACACAGCTGTAGTTATCTCCCTGTCTGGTACAGGTACCGCCATTCCGACAAGGATTGTTCAAACAACCATCAACTTTATGGTAACAAATGTAGGTAAATTAATTAGGCTCCAATTAAATTACAAACTATGGACGTTCATAAATGAATACCAAACAGCTTCCAATAACCTTACGGACATGGGACACAGTGAATCGATATAGCGTCAGGTTACACAAATATGACGATTAAAACAAGATGCAATTGGAAATTAAATGTCGCATGGCGTTATGGAATAAAATCTGATCGAAAAAACCAAGACGTAGTCGGCTGATGCCCTGGGTTGAGGGATATAAGAACACAAAGCCAATATATGCATCCCAATATAAAGCCGACGAGACAGCAACCATATTGGCCATCGAGTAACTACTTATATGACGATTTAACTGGATCTTACTGTTAGAAATAAAGAAGGTGTGAAATAAAGAAATGCGACAATTGTATTAGATAAATCTATCAACTACCTTATTAAGACTCACCATCTGCACAGTTCTGTCCGTAAAAACCCGACTTGCATATACAAGTGTAGGCTGTACCGACGACTCGACACGTCGCCCCATTCATACAAGGTGGCCCATAGCACGGTGTTTCTGTAAAAAGGTCAGGACATTTCTCATATTTCTCCTTTGTCTATTTCAACTCGTTAATTATATGTATCTTCCAATCACAGTTAAGAAATACAGAAAACATTTTGTTGAGAAATTATCTTTATGAAGTTAATTGAACATAAAAACTAGGGCTGAAATGTGTGTGCCAGTAATATTTTTAAAACAGTTGTGGTACAACAGCTCTCTAAAATGTATCTATATATACATCTATGACAACATTAAATTTTAGCCTCATTTGATTAATCTGTTCAATTCGATTTAAAAACAAAAAAGTCCTTTTTTGAATTATGTGCTACAAGTAATGTCGAAATATGATGATTAAGTTGACATTTGTTAGATGTGATGAAAATGCATCAAAAGGACAGAAGTCAGTTTTAAAAGGGGTTTGATATGAAAATTTCGAATGTGAAATTTATTAATAACGATTTGGGTTAAATTTCCGTACTTTGCTCGCAATGTTTGCCTGTGAATTGGACTGAACACGAACAGCTGTAGGACGACCCAACACGGTTACACCTCCCGTCATTGACACAAGGTCTAGATAAACACGCATCCGCTGTCAGTAAACAAACATCTTAAATAAAAAATCATTTAAAAGAACACAACTTAATAAACAAAGTCAATATTTAAGTATCTAAAAGAAGTATTGATGAAAAATGCAAATGACCCTATTACAAAACTGCAACCATGACGAGATTATTTCAGCTTAAATGTGTAACTACAGGTATGAAATCATAATTTATTTTGAAAAACATATCAAACATTTGTAATATTATATTTGTATAGAATGTATTCTTTGTATCACATAATATTGTTCGATTAGAAATGGGAAGCTGGAAATATATTTGTTGTAAAATAAATAAAATACATATAAAATTTGGAGGCAAAGACGAAAAATTAAAATCTGATTCGTTTTTTTTTTTTTCTTTTTTTTTTAAGGTTCAAATTGTATTTTATTTCCCCAGCATCTTTGGGAGGGATGCCCAAGTTTGGGTGCCCCGGGATCATCCCTCTTACATAATATAGCCTTCATTCTCTCTCTCTTTTTCTTTTCTTCTCTCAAACTCAAAATCATTCATTCTTTCATTCTCATTTATGACAATAACAATAATATTTTATTTGATCGAAAAGATATATTAAATTACACCAACCATTCCTTCTTTATATATTCAAATATTGAAAGTATTTTTGTATTTATAAATGCATTTACATGCCAAAAATTCTGCTTTATTGATTCGAGATTGCCATATTTTCCTAAAATAATTGTAATTAAAGTGTCACACAAGCATAAAGCTAGATACATGTACCTCTAGTCAAAATTAATGAGTGGATATTTATCTCCAAATTACCGTATTCACAGTTCTGTCCATAGTACCCGGATGCACATTGGCATGTGTAAGAGTGGCCTATCGTTCTGCACGTGCCGCGGTTCTTGCATGGTAACGCTAGACAAGCGTTAGCTTTTGAAAAGAAAAATATATTCACTTACAATAACATTGTATCATTATGAAAACAGAAGAGAAGAATACGAACACAACAGCATATAGTTCGTTATAATGACCCCCGTCTCACTGCTTGCAAAACACCAATAAATTCCATTATATTTATTTTTTATTTTTAACGATAAAAAAAAAAGAAACCTCCAAATAATTTCATTTTTGAATATCTGTAGAGGGGCTGGGAGTAGGGTTATCATACCGGAGCAGGCAGTGGTGTGATGAGCTGGACACGGGTTGGACATGTAACAGGTGTAGCCACTAGAACAATGGACGGACCTACATCTAGTCTCGCGTACCGTCTCCGAGTACGTCTGATGACAAACAATACAACCTTATCATATACATGACTACCAATATTCATCGCAAATTATTATGTAGTTACACGATCTGCTGTATGTCGTTGGTTGTATGTTACGTAAGTTGCGGCATATGTTCAGCCACTGCAAATACGTTTATGTCGCTGCTGTTTAGGGCCATACAAAACAAACTAAAATTGATCTGCTGCCCCTATTGCAACACTCGAGACTTTAATTTTTTCATTTTCTATTCACCGACATCTCAATTAGCACCTGTTTCCATAGGACCTTTGCACGAGGACACTAAAACAAAAACAAAAACAAAAACTCGTTCAAATATTTCAAATATTCGGAATCAGTTCTTATCCAGTCCGCCAGCTTGATAATCATACACCAGAAAGTCCGCAAACTATTTTAGAGAATATTAAACTGCAAAACAAAATATCATAACAACTCAATAATGGATTACAATGTAAACTAGGGGGAAATATGAACAAGAGAAACATAACAAAGAGGTCAATAAGATAGTGCGAGAGTAAAATGATCAGGTGTACCAGAAGGTTAGGTGTCTACATCGACAACCACCGCTTTGGTACTCCAGATCGAATCCAAGTATAGACATAATCTCAGCGGGAGAATCGGAATAAGGACAAAGAGCCTAAGAATAATCAAAAACATCAAAGCAGTATTATGGTATAACCCTTGTTCATAATGGAATATTGTATGAAATACAGGTAGCCGGAAAGCCCGCTCTGTCACCTTTGTAAAATTCACTCGGTAGGTACACTATTTTATGTTGTAAACGTAATTAATTGACAGCATTGATGCGGTTGTGATGTCTATATACACCGTAGTGTAGTACTTACGTAACATTCTGTTTTGTGAGATTCACAGTAATATTCATTGGAGTTACAACTATACAAACTCCTTCTGTCCAAAGTGTTCACGTGTCTTTGCAGGAAGCTGTAAGCTTGCGTCCTTGCTAAAAATGGTGATCTTCGTTTGTCATTTTCGTAGGAACTGCACACTATAAAACATATTAAAATAAATAGTTGGCTTTCCTATCTTTCATGGTTTTGTTTTGTTTTGTTTTGATGTATACAGTTAGTCTGTAGTTTTGTTAACATTAAATTCTAACAGTACATGTACCATGGCAGTTTTATCTGCGTCTTCTATTGTTGATGTTTTTATAAAACAGAATCAAAAAGATGTACACGTACTTTGCAAATATAGAATTAAACTAAAAATGAAAGTTAAAGAAAGTCATTTTGAATATTTGAAAAACATAATATATTTTTTTTAACATTTTGCTAAGCAACAAATAACCAAATTGATTTGCAGTAAGATGTATAGTGGATTATCATCTATATACAACTTTATACCACTTACCGGTAGCATGATACATTCATCATCATGGGTTATCATGAACATCTTGAGAAAAGATTTTTTGTTTGTTTTTTAAAACGTCTCCGCGCGCCAGGTAACTAGAAATAGTATCCACAAAAACGTGATACGCGGAAGATTTGTTTTTTGTCATAAACAATGTTTAAATAAATGGGGAAATAATGTAAATATAATATCATTTTAAACGTAAATGTACATTTGGAGAAGCAGTGATGATAATATTGATTTAAAAACATCTTTCTGCTAAGTTAAAAGGTTCATGGTATTTCTCCGCTAAAATCTATTTATTAACGTTCGTCATAGACCAAGGAGCTCGATGATCATTGAGCCTAGAAGTCATTTAAAAGATAAGATATTTAGTAGACTTTTTATGAATTGCACAGGTATACGATAGTCGTATATAGATGTTAAACAGCTTATCACACACTGTTGTAAGGTTTTGTCATTCGAACAATTTTCTCAACCCTTGCACGTTGATGAAATGTCGAGTCCCCCAGCGCTGGCCTCTCAATTTATATATGTGCCG